GTGTTTTATTGTTTTATAACTACTTATTTGAACTATTTTCAATTTATTTTAGTGCTAGGCGACAGACCTTTAGGTTCACTCTTCACTTCTGCATGTGAATAACCAGTTTTCCCAACACCATATCTTAAAAACATTATATTTTCACTTTCTCAAAAATCAAATGACTTAACGTGGTTAGGATGTTTTTCATTCTCAATTCTGTTCCACTGATCAACATATCCATATTTTGTGCCACTATCATGCTGCTTTTTTATTTTAAAGAGAATTTTAAAAGTAACAATAGCAAAATGCCAACAACATAGACAAAAACAAAACAAAGCAAAATAGTAACAATGATGCAGAGTTTCACAAGAAAAGGACAGGGATTAACAGCTATTGTTATATTGCATATTTTTATCTTCATCAAAGTTATATTTGCATATATGTTCATGTAGTTTTCTTATTTGTTAAGTCATTGTCTTGGTCTGTTTTGAAGTTAGTGATAGCTTCTAGGAATGAGTTTGGCAGTTCTCCTTCTGTTTCAAGTTCATGGAAGATGGAAATTCATGGTGTCATTGTATCTTTCCTAAAGTATGATAGAATTCTGCAGTAAAGTTTTCATGTCCTGACCTTTTCTTATGTAGTAGTGTTTTATCCTTCCCTCAATTTCATTGATTGCTATTGGGCTGGTGAAGTTATTATATCTTCGTGATCTTATTTTGAGAATTTATGCATCCAGAACTTCCTCCATTTTTTGTAAGTTCTTCAATTACTGGAGTATAATTTTTCAAATACTATCCTATAATCTAGTTTTCAGAAATGTCTATTGTCATTTCCCATTTCTGTCTCTAATTGTGTTGACATCATTTTTCCCTTTTTTTAGCAAGTTTTTTAATGGTTTATTAATTTTATTTTTATTTTCAAGGAACCAACTCTTTACATCATTAATTATTTGTACGTTTTAGTTTCAATTTCATTAATTTCTTATCATCTTTACAATCTCTTTCCATTTACAAGATTTAATTTTGGAATGTTCTTATTTTTCTAGGACCTTTGAGATACATTATTACAATATTTATTTGAGATAGATTTATTCTTTTAATGTGCCCATTTACTGCTATAAGTTTCCCTCTTAGGATACTTTTCATAGTGTCCCATAGGTTGTGGTGTGTTGTGCTTTCATTGTTAGAAGACATTATAAACTTTTAAATTTCTCATCTATTTTTTTCTGAGAACCACTGACTATTCAATAATGTATTAATCTCCATGTGTTTCATAAATTTTATTATTACATTGCTGTTGTTTTCTACATTTATTTCACTATGATATGTGTAAGGCATTTTATAGCAGAAGCACTAAATGCCAGGCCATTCAGTGAAGTGCAAACAATAAGTGAAAACAGTAGTCAACATAGACTTCTATAACCTGTGAAACCTATGTTCAAACTTGACAGAGAAATAAATAATTTCCATGTCAAATGAATACATTCCAACTAAAAAGTACACATTCCCAGTAAACTAACATTGAGGAAAATAATTAGGAGAATCCTCAGCAGGGGCAAGATGATTCTTAGCATTAAAGGACCCAAATAAATTATACCTCTCATTGGAAGCATAGTAAAATAAAAGGTAAAATAAACAAATGAGCGTTGGAAAAACAGTTAAACTGCAGAACTGAGCAGATAACTTGCAATGGTAACTCTTAAAGTTAAATGTCCTAATTCCCCAATCAAAAGACACAGAAACTGGCAGAAAGTATCTACAAACAATATTTGATTTTATGTTTCCTGTCAGAAATACTCCTCACAAAATAAAGAAGTACATAGACTGAAACAGAGGGACAGAAAATGGTACTCCATGCAAACTAGTGTCTGAAAGAAAACAGGAGTAATTATCTTAATTTTGAGACACAGAAAATTTTAAGCCAAAATGAATGAGACAAAAATGGCCACTATATACTGCTAAGGGGAGCTATTTAACAGGAAAAGATAGCAATCATAAATATATATTCACAAATGTTGGTACAATGAACTTTATAAAACAAAAAGTATGGAACATTTAAAAATAGGTCGACACACATTCAATCATATTAAGGGACTGTAATAAAACTCACAAATACATAGGTCAGCAAGACAAAGAAATCAACAAAGAAGTATCACAATTAAACCGATCATAATATAAATGGACATAGCAGCCATTGTGTCCACATAGTTTTGCACCCAACAAGAGCCAAAAATATTTCTTCTCGGTGGCAAATGGAACTTTTCCAAAACGGACCATGTATTAGGACATAAAGGATGCTTAAATAAATACATAGATTCCATTCTTAATTTTAAAATATTTGGGAAATTTTAATTCTTTTTTAGTCTGTTTTGATTTGTTGAATCATTCCACTGTTTTTATCAAACTTAGGTCACATTATTTCAGTACACTGATACTTACTGAGACTTGATTCATAGTCCAATATATAGCCACATTTCCATTCACCCCTAAGTGTTTTACGTGAACATGAAAAGGTAGTGCACAATGCACTTATTTGCAATAATGCCTTTATGGTATTTTTTTTCATGCATGTTTCTTATATTTCTACTGTTTTTTTTTTTTTTTTTGGTCAACTAATCACTAAGATATAAAAATCTTGATCAATTTGTCTGAGTTTGCCTCTAATAAAGTCTAGTTTTACAGTTTCTTGGCTTACATTTTTGAAGTGTGTCAGCTGAACTTGGTAATTTTGAATTGTTTTTCTACTGGATTAGCACAATTACTGTTTATCTTAGTTTTACCATACTATAGCTCCATAAGCTTACCATATATTAGTGTGGGCAAAGTATTTCTCTTTTTACTTTCAAAAATTTTGTGCATTTATATTTCAGGTGTAATTTCTATAGTAAATGTATAGTCAGGTATTTTTTCAATCCATTATAATACTTTTGTCTTTAAATGAGCATTTAGACCATTTTTAATGTGTTTACATTTATTTGGATTTGTATTTAAAGGAAAATTAGGCATAACATATAATAAGCAAAAATTGAGAAACTAGATTTAAGCCCAAAAATAAATTAATACATCAAAGTAAATGAGCTACATACTCATTTAAAGACAAAAATATATTTATCTTTTATTTTCTCTTCACTTCTATTTATATGTAGCACATCATGTTTACAAAATTTGCCTTAATGCATACTTTGTCATTAATTTCTTACAAGAGACTGAATTATACACATGGTATACTGAGTTGATGTGCTCTAAACTGTTTACTAGTTAATGCTTATAAACAATAGAGTCTAGAAAAAACAACTTTCCATTATGGGAAGACAACTTTTGACTATGAGAAGGAACACAAACTCAAGCAGAAATAAAATGTTTATCCAAGTTATGAAAGTGGTATTCCAGCCAACAATGCAGAATTCTGAAACACTAAGTTTCTAGTGTTGTAGCTCCATTGAATTAATATACTTATTGATATTCTTTGAAAAATCACAATCTTGAACTATTTCAAAGATCTAGAAATTTTCTGATTTCAAGAGTATTTGGGGCAGTAGTTCTAACCCAAATCGGATATCATTTTCCATGTATCTGGGAGCAGTTATCAGACACATTTATATTTTGAAAAAAAACCCACAAAATTTTTTTTTAACTTCTAGTTAAGGCCGCTGCATTAAACTATTTATTGCTATATTTTAAGGGTTTTTTTTTCTTCCCTAAATAAGTTAGCAGATGCTTAATTGTGACTATAGGTCAGGTTTGTTCTTGGTATAAGAAGTTGGAAGTACAAATTTTAAACTTAATTGTACCTGCATTTCACTATTTTGATTTACTATTTTTATCTAAGAACTTTATGAGAAAAAGCATAGTTTTTAATGTTGTTATTGAGGGATAATTCATAATGATAATGGATATTCATATCCATATTGTAAATTCTCAAAGCATTCTCTTTTTAACAGGCAAGAAGTAAACATCACAGCGTATGTTAACTTCATTTCAAGTAAGAATTTCAGTTTCTGAAGTTCAGTGTTTCTTACATTTGAAAGTAATATTAGTAATCAGTGACTAATATCATCTGTTAAATCTGACAAAGTAAAAACTGCTCTGAATTGCTGTTAAAATTAGTACATGTAAATATCAATATCTATAACTTTATGTGTGTATGTAAAATATTTTGAACTCTGATATGATTTTCTATTAGCTCATTTAAAATAAAGGATGCATTGTTTGTTTTTCCACCTTGTAATACAAAACAATTGTGCTTGTATAAAATCCCTTGTGTTCAAAATCAATCATTACAAAATGAAAATTGAGAAATGCCTACAGATCAAGATAGTTAATAAGAAATGCCTTTGTTAAATAACTGCAACTTTTGGAAAACTGTCCTTAATATATTAAGCTGAAATATGCCTACAATTCTGCAAATTTCCCCATTGTATTTTTACTCAAATCATTTAAACAAATTGGTCACATTGTGATTTACAGTGTGGGTTCTGTATGTCAATCTTACCTCTGCTACTCACTAGCTTTATGATTTGGAACAAATAGTTTAACCTCGGATAGTGTTTCTTTTTCAATATTTGTAAAATGAAAGTAATTGTACTACCTTATTCAAAGAGGGTAGTTTGTAATGATTAGTAGGTAGTTTGTAATGATTAAATGATTTGCTATATATAATGGGATTAGAACACAGTCTGACATGTAGTAAATATTAAGTGTTAGCAGTTGCACATAAGCTGTTATATTGTTAGTACAACTCTCATATAGTTGTTCTTTAAGTAACTGAATAAAGACATCATATTTCTCATTAATCTCCCCATCTCCAGGAGAACTATACTGAGATACATCTTCAGTTCCTCTCTTGACACACTTGACAGATATTTTGTTTTACCAGATTATTCAATTTCGTGTGTCTTCAAGTATGTGTCTGCCACTCTTGTTTGAGAAACTGAATTGGATGTGGTCCTAATTTCTATGACCAGTGATGTCACTGAATTTAAATAGGTGTTAATATACACATTCAATTTTAATTTATCAAGACTTTTACTAGTTATGTTCAATATTGTGCTACTTACTATTGGGACTACAGAATAAATAAATTATATTACTACCAATTTAACCAAAATAACATAATAAAATTCACCAAAGGCACAGAAAATAAAAGAGGCACTTGAAAGAACACAGTGCATATTTCTCTGATGTTCATTCCTTCTGTTGGAATATAGTATTTTAAATCTATGTTTTGGTAACTATCTGTGAAAATAGACTTTATAGAGAAAATAAAATAACAAATATTATTTTAAACATAATTATCTGTTAGTTAAATTTGTTTTTATTTTCCCAAGTTACTATATGAATTAAATGTATACATGAAATAGAAAAGCTACATTTTGAGTTGTAGCAGTTTAGTTTAAACTATATATTTCTCATTTAAAGATATTTAAGTGCTGATGTAAGTCTAGTTATTAACTGAAAGTTCCTTATTGTCTTACCTCATTTTAGCCAATGAATCTAGCAGGAAATCATTCAATCAAGAACACTGTGCTTTGACATTTCCCAAACCACCCATGCCAGGAAGAAAAGCAAGCTCAAGACTTTCAGAATTACAGATCACAGTTCCTGTAAGTATTGATAAGTTAAATGGAATCTGTTTATATTTGTACTTTATGTATAAATATAAAGAAGATTTTAAGTATATACATATAATTTTAAATTTACTCTTCTACATACATTGTTCCCACTTATTTCACACTCAAATTTATTTGAACTGAACCCCCCTCACGTTAATTCTATACTATTGTATAAGCAAGTTAGAAAGACTAAAGTTGCAACTGATACTACCAATTGGACAATTTTTACCAGTTGCTAAAAGATTTAAAATTTGAATCTTAGAGCAGGAGTTATTTTTTTGTTAGAGTCTTCAAATTTTATTATGAAGTTAAGGATATTGACACTAAGAGATTCTATTTTTACTGCATTTAAAAAGTAGAGATATTATAGAACTTAGCAAAAATAGAAATACCATGTAAGGGTAACTTCTTTTGATTCCAAAATATTTTGAAAATAACTTCTAAAATGTTGTACTCAATGCTGTATTCAGTAGGTATTCATTTCTTTTTTATTATTATTATTTTAAAAATAAAAGGAGAAAAATACTAACAGACAGACAACATTTTACAAAATACCAAAGGATCAGTACAGACAGTACAGAGTTACAAACAGAGTGGTAGGGAATTAACAATGCTTGTTGTATTACATATTGATATCTTCAAAGAGGTTTCTCATGAAAACAGATATAGACATACAAAGCTGATCAACCAAGGACTCATTGACACTTTCTTTCAGCAAGCAAA